ACCTCTACTCAAAAAAAAGAAAAGAAAAGCTAATTCTCTGCAAACACAGAGATGGGAAAGGAACTAACCACAACAGCGAAGTATATCCATGAACAAGGTTTGTTATACTGATGTACTGAATGGGTGCACATGTGGTGCCCTGCACTATACATGTAAGGCTTCATGTCTGCACTCCTCAGAGGGACATTAATGTCCCTTACCATTTCCCGTAGTTGAGGTAGGGTTGCTAGGTTTCAGGACACTGGCTGAAGTTTCGTGGAACTGCTCTGTTTCAGTAGATCTCTAGGCAAGGAGAAATGTTTCAGAGAGAAGAGCATTGCAGAAAGCAAAAGTTAGATTTTTCTGTCTCGGATGGCTTTAAAACTTAGCCCTCTCTCTCTTCCAGGGCTTACTAGCTCATCACAAAGATTCTGATGTCTGAAAAAACTGTATGTATGAGGGGCACATTTTCTGTAAGCAAAGCAAAACAAAACAAAAACCATAAGCAGGGGCACAAGAATGGAAAGACAGCTGCCAGGTGGACGGACATCCTTGGATCCACCATGCCATTTAGAACAAGGCAACCACCTCCTGGTTGCATGAGTCCAAGCAGAATAGGTTGAAAGCATGGTGGTGGTGGAAGTCCCTATAGGCTGGTAGTGAGTCTTCCACAAATCCAAGCAGCAGTTTGAGGCCTGGAAATACTCCCTATGCCTCATGTGTGCAATAACAAGGCTGCACAAGGTGTGAGCCCTAGAAGAAATGACAGCAACTATAGCAGCTGTGCGGCACATTTTCCCACCTAGCTGACTGCCAGAAACAATATTCCAGCCCTTGCCTCTGGATTTATTTAGAGCCCATTTATCCACATCCTCTGTGCAACACTCTCATCAGTTTACTTTGCTGTCTCCCACAATGTTTCTATATGCCTAAATCTGTGCATAAAGCATACTGCCCTTGTGGTCCTTGATGTGTGAATCGTGGGTCTGCCTGCCCCCTCCCTGACACAATGAAGACCTTTTACAATAAAGTGGTGCCTCGCTTGATGAGGATAATCTGTTCGAGCAAAATCGCTGTAGAACGAAATTGTTGTCAAGTGAAAGTAACAGTTATTTTACTCCAATAATGTGAATGTAATATGTCCCCTGGACTGACAAGAGAACAAATATCCATTTTGAAGAAAATCACCCCTGAGTGTTCACTGGAAGGACAGCCCCTGAAGCTGAGGCTTCAATACTTTGGCCATCTCATGAGAAGACTCCCTGGAAAAGACCCTGATGTTGGGAAAGTCTGAAGGCAAGAGGAGAAGGGGACAACAGAGGATGAGATGGTTGGACAGTGTCATCGAAGCTACCAGCATGAATTTGACACAACTCCAGGAGGCAGTGGAAGACAAGGGCCTGGCGTGCTCTGGTCCATGGGGTCACGAAGAGTCGGACACGACTTAACAACTAAACAACAAAATATGTCTTATGTTTTAACATTTTTTCTTGTAGTGCATCTCAATTTTATATCTACCATTGTACCATAAACACATCTTCTCTAGAACAGCGGTCCCCAAACTTTTTTGCCCTGTGGACCAGCTGGGGAGGGCAGGGCACCCCCCCCAGTTCGTGCACATGCACAAAGGAGAGAGCGAGTTCTCGCGCAGGCATGGGTGCACTCGTGTGCAAAGGGCGGTGCAGCAAACGGGCTGTGCACTCGTGTGCAAAGGGCGGTGCAGCACTTGTGCATGTGCATGCACGCAGGTGCAAACGGGCTGTGGGGGGGGGAGGTCTCTCTCCACGGCCCGGCCTGGCTACAGACTAGCACAGGGCCGTGGACCGGGGGTTGGGAACCTCTGCTCTAGAACATATGTGAATAACTATGAACCAGGTATTTTTGTTTTGCTAAATTATAGGCATCTTGGCCAATGGTGAAGGATTACGGAAATTGCAATCTAAGAACATCTGAAAGTTTGCCCCCTCTTGTTCTTTGAAGGAGTTGCAAGCATACCATTGCACATAATAAATGGTTGCTTGTATTCACACTGAAGCAGAAGAAAAGTCCAAAGTTTACCTATGATATGAACATTTATGAGTCTTTTGGAGATCAATGTTAGATATGGCAGATTGTGTTGGGGTTGTTTGGCAAAGGAAACTGGTGAGGTGTGGCTTTAATAATACAAATAAACATCCTCTTATTACAGCAGACAAAAATGGTTCTATCAGGAACCTACAAAGCAGATTGAGCTACAGGTCCTTTATTAGACCACCCCTTATTTATTAATTTACCCCACTGTTTCAATACATTCACTCAGAGACTCTGGCAGTGAAAAAGAATGACAGGTTTCATTTTACTCACAATTCTTCTTCTATATAAACAAAAATCTTATTGTGTGGAAAAATGTTAATGTTACATCACTGACCTTAACTATTTAATTTACTTCATTATTAACAAACTGGTTGCATTACTAACAGAATGCGCCACTCTAACTGTTCACTATTGACTCCATAACTCACACTGACAGAACAGTAAATGAACTCTGATTGGAAAAAAAGGTAGGAAAAGAACTCTGAGGCAGAGAGGGAACTATTGATTGCTACTGAGTTGACAGCAGCCCCAGTCCAGAAAGGTCCCTCCCAGGTAAAAACTCCTTAACTCCACATGAGGGTGCGATATATCCAACAGATTTCAGGTGAATGATTAGCCCTTTAAGTGCTCAGGTTCAATTAAGTTACTTCTTGTAGCATAAACCATTAATTCTTGTGATGTCCAAACCTGCTATCTATGGCTTGCCCTTCCACACCAACCATGATTATAAAACAATTCTGGTTTAAAGGTCAAACACTACCGACAGTTTGTGATATAAATGCAATAAGAAACTTCACTTTGAGTGGAACAACTTGACTAAATCTTAGAATGCAAGAGAAAAAGAGAAAGAAGATCGGAAGAGCTTGTAGAAGGCTTTCCCTACATGGAAGAATCGGGAAGAGAATGAATGAACCAACCTCATGTCTTGTTGCTTTGTTTCACAGTGGCCTCATAGTAGTGACAAGAAGCATATTCACAAAAGGTAGCAATATTATGTTTGCAAGGACAAGACAATTATATTTCTACCTTATAGCTGTATCCACATGGACTATTTTCATTTCATTTGATCTAGAGCAAATTGTTACTGGATTTCAACTCACAGAAGCTCCAGTCAACACGGTCAATAGTCAGGTATTCTGTAAATTGTAGTTCAACAACTAGGAATTTGGGTACGGAAGATGTTGCTCAAGCGTGTCAGATACATTCATGTCACAGTAGATACAGTTTCAAAACTGCTCTGCCCAAAACACAGCAGGAGCAGAGCTAGAAACTGCTTAGCTCTTTCTGACTATATTGCACCACAAAGCTCCTCCTTAGATGGTAGGACAAAAAGTGTCTGCACATCAAATCCATGCCTATCATAACTAGAGGTGGGGAGAAAAAGGTTCCTTACAATATTAGCAACGTGTGGGCATTCCTAATGGTGTCTTACAGCATAATCAATATGAAGAATTTTGAAGAGACTGCTCAAGATTCCTGTGGAACATCTGTATTTTCTTACAACAGCTTTAAATATATTTACTTGATTTTTGCTTTGTTTTGTTTTGTTTTGCTTTGTTTACATTTTTGCCTGTGCTTCGTACAAAAGCTGCCAGGAGTGTTTTAGCTGCTTACTGAAACCTAACCAAACCCTTCTACTAGCTCAGCTGAAATCTGTGTAATTGTTGGCTGTGATGATTTGTTTGGTGCATTATATTAGTCTGAAAACGTGTTTCACATACTTTGGTGAAACATGCTCTAGTCAGATGACAGCACTTCATGCGTTTGCACAAATACATATATAAATATGGATGGTAATGTCGAGATTTCCAAATAAGGTACATTGGTGCCTTGCTAGACAGTTACCCCGCATGACAGTTTTTTCGCTAGACATTGACTTTTTGTGATCGCTATAGCAATTCACAAAGCAGTGATTCCTATGGGGGAATTTCACTGGACAATGTTTGATCCCTGCTTCGCAAACTGATTTTTGCTAGACGACAATTTTGACAGCTCCCTCTGTGCTCGCAAATGGGTGTTTTTGGGACCTAAGCTTCGCAAGACAGTTATTTAAACAGCTGATCAGCAGTTCACAAAGCGGCTTTCCTATGGCCAATTGTTGCTAGACAATGACGATTCTTCCCCATTGGAACGCATTAAACAGGTTTCAATGCATTCCAATGGGGAAATGTTTTTCGCTAGACGATGATTTCGCTAAACAGCAATTTTAGTGGAACAGATTATCATCGTCTAT